TACGAGTATGTGCTAGACGTGAAATAGAACAATGTCCTATACAAGTGGCCATAGATGAAATGTGCCAGCGAGTTCGAGAATTGAGACAAACTGTATCTGCTCAGCCAACGGATGTAAAAAAATTACAGCTGCGTTTACAAGTATGAATTTTGTAGTAATAATATATTATTCTCAACATAGTACCTATATAAAAGTATTAAAAACTTATAAATTGAAAAAAAAATAAGTAAGGTACTTACATATCGAAGTTTTAGTCATACATATCAGCTTCGGATAAATTGAAACACTAATATTAGTAAAAAAATAATGTATATGTTGCATTAAATACTTTTTTATTAAAATATTTTTGCTATATGAGTATATAGTATTATTATTATTATTATTAAAGACTGGATTTATCTACACAAAAAATCCTTAAAATATGCTTCTAAAAATGCTTTAATATACTACAAAATATTCTTTTATTATTAAATATACATTAAAAATTGAATCGAAAATATTTTATTTGAAATTAAATTAAAAATTACTAGACACAAAATCTAACACAATTTTAAACGTAAAACGCACGACACTGTTGGTTTTCGTCGTACACTGGAATTCAATTATACGAAAAACATATTTATCTATACTATTAATATATGTTACATATAAGTTTATCATCTAATCTTTGATAATAACGATCGGTAATCATTTTATCGATATTATTATGTGGCTGTGAACGTGAAAATAGGACGAAAAACGAATATATGTGCTATAAATAATTATTATATACACTATTAAATTACTAATATGTATTTAATAGATAAAACTATTGAAATATGCAAAATACAATTAGACATTAGTGTTATTTTAATAAGAATGATTTAAATTGGGGACTATTCTCATCAGATTTCAATTCATTTGCATATAAATCCGGTCCCTAGTTATTATATATATATATATATGTATATACAGATAGTCGATAGATATGGGATATCTATCTTCATTAAATATTTACTTTTAGACTAGCATATCAAAGAGAAAATTAATCGGTCTCACTCGAGCTGTTCCTTCCAAATGAAAAAGAACCATTAATTTAAACAAAAAACAAAATGTAATTATACTGCAGTTAGTAGTGGTATTAGTTATGTTGGCTTACTAGTTGTTATATTATGCGTCTATGTCATATCCATATTATGTTTATTATAAATGATGTATTAATACCTTGCAATAAATTTTATTCTTACCATTATTCAATAAACAACATATAAAACGTGTATAGGAGTGTCTTGATATATTTAATTAAAAATATTATTATCTATCACAGTTAAGTGTTTTAAAATGAAAATAAGGAGGAAAGTAGAAATTCTGCATTAAAAAGCATTTAGATATTTACCAAAAACATTGTAATTATTGTATTATTAATATTTAATTATTTTAATAATAAATAGTATATTATTGTTATTGATTTTTAAATCATTACCACCTTACTGTAGAACTGTGTAAATAGGTTAATGTTTATATGTTATAGCTTAAAAATAATATAAATATTTTGAAACTATCATTGTTTTTAGTAAATTCATTATATATATGAAAGTTTAAGTTTCTCTCCCCACAATGTTTTCAAATTACAATATAATAACTATCATTGTTATTTAAATTTTAGATACTTTGTTGTAAGTTATGAATATTATTTGTAGATATTTGAAACTTTTAGTTCATAATATTATATTTTATTCATACATTTACATTTTCAAATGCTATGCTTTAGGCATAAATTAATGCATATTACTGTTACTGTATTACTAATAATAAAATAAAATACTTTTATAACAATATAAATATATCATTAAAACTTAGTAGATAATAGAGGCTGAGTTCTTCTCACATTTTTCATGTACAATGATTGATCATTGAATTTAAATTTAATTCATACATTACAGTGATTAACTCTTCAATTATGAGGTATTTTGAAGCCTATTTCCCTCTCCTCTCTTTTTTGTTGTTTTCCCCAATTAATTTTAAAATAATGAGTATTTTCAATTTTAGTATTCTTAAATCATCAACTCTAATTTTTTATCAAAAATTATTCTCTAAGATGAATACCAAAATATTTTTTTTACTATAAATTATATTAAAATAAAAAATCAATACATTTATTGCTCCAATCAGAATCTAAAATATTTGAGCATGTTTTAAGTTTTATTGCATAAGTACTTACTTATGTCCAAATAATTTGCTATTAATATATATAAACAAGAGTTATGTAATACTTATTTTATACTTATAATTAATTAATGTTTAAAACACATACTTATAGTATAGTAAAAATATATTAACTAAAATTATTTTTTTATTTTTTCTATATTGGCATATACATGTCATAAAGAATTTAATATTTTTAGAGGTTTGAGATATTTTTTAATACTTCTTAACTACTCTATGTATTGTTTTTATAGCCATTTAGATGTTTTAGTGTAATAAAATAATGTAAATCACTTAACACAATTTTTAATGATTTGTCACTTAACAGGGAAGTGTTTGTGTTCAAGTCAATGCTGGTCCTTTAGCATATGCCAGAGCATTTTTGGAACCACAAGCTGTTCTTGAATTGCAGCCCGATAAAGTTCAAGACCTCAAAGATACGTTTAGGTTAGTTCATAAAATACACTCAAGTAATATTCGTGTATAATATAATACAATTCTATAACAAAAATGTATAAAAGGTACGAGAATAAATGCATAAATTATTCTGATCCAAAGGCAGAAGGAGTTCACATGGATATATGATGCGCCAAACCATTTTTTATTTTAAGCAAGTTGTTTTCTTCATGTGAAGTGAACTTACTGCTGTAAAATACTTAGTCAAAGTAGTGATTATTGACATTTATATTTTTATAATTTATTTTTTTTAATTATTAGACTTAATAAAAAACATTAGTTGTGAGTATATACTATAGGTCATATTATGTAGGTAATGATGATGAACTTGGTTGCAGTTAGTAATTGTAGCACAAACAACACAAACATTTACTTCAAATGATTATTAGAACTTGAAATCGGAAAGTTAGCGATTTTTTAAGAATAATTGTAAATTCAATACATTTATCTACCTCTAACGATGAGTGTAATTATAGTTATCACCTATAATATTTTACATCACTTCCTACTTATTAACAGCCATTTTTTTAAATTCTTAATCGTTTAATTTTTCATTTTACTTAACATCAAGTGTGGTAATTTCCCAGTTTGTTTTAAAAAATAAGTTATTATAATTGTTAATCGTTATTTGTTTTATTTTTTTGTTTATAACAATTTAGAGAATTTATCAGCGCATGTTTCGATGCGTTGAAATTGAATCGAATGTTAGTGTCTTCCGATCAAATTGAATATCAAGATGTGATGCAAGAAAATTTTTTAAAAATGTGTCGAGAACTGTCGGAATGCATTGAAAACGATTCATTGTGGCAAGATGTATTGCAATCCTGTACATCTCCCGGTAATGATAGTCGAACACTATTTACTGCAATTAGTGGTGCGAGTCAAGATTCATCAAATGCATAACACTTGTATAACAGCTCCAATTTAATCAAAGTATAATTTACTTAAGGATTCATTTTTATACTTCATATTGTTACTAACCTAAATTAAATTATTTCAAATCATTATTATTATTATTATTATAATTATTACTATTACTATTATTATTGTCTTATTATTATAACTACCGCCATTATATAACTATCGCCTTTCCAATTTTTGCCATTGAGACTTTGTTATTATTTTAGTAAGATATTTTTAAAAGAAGAATATAATATAGATAATCTATCTTACCTGTAATTTGTAAGATGTGAAATATTTATACTTATTAAAGTTAAGTTAGGCTTATTAAATTTAAATATTTTGATCAACCATATTGAGTTAATCAAAATTATGGATATAAGTATCCTTCTGTACAAGTTTACGATTTTTATCATGACATCTTTTAAATAATATCAATTACAATTAATTTTTGTATTGTATTAAGGAGATATTATAGACATGTTATTACATATAGCATTTGTATGTTTTTTTTTTTTTTTAGATTACATTAATAATTATTGTTATATAATAATTTGAATGATAAAATATTGAAATTTATAACTTATTAAGAAGGAATACGTCTGTTGAAAATAAATGAAAATTGTTAAAAACGCATTTGATATTTTTTTTATAATAATTACCTGTTTATAGTGGCAAGTTTATAAGTTTATTGTTAAAATAAAAATTGTCGAATAAAACATTCATGTAATTATGTCAAAACAATCAAACAACATATGATTATAGCTGAACAAATATGTGTTAAATATGACAAATTTTTTCTAATTAATAGCAACCCTATATAAACAAAATAATAATCAATTTTTATGAGTCAAAAATCCAGAAATCACAAATCCACGAAGAGTCCCTTTTTAAAATATGAATTTTATGAAATTCTTTATTGGTATATACATATATTATGAAACAAAGAAACTGTCAAAAATTCCAAGTTTCTACCCAATATAGTTTACACTCTATTGTGACTGCCAGTAAGGATAAATCCTTTAATATATATAAATTATAAATTACTCTCATCTTGTATGCTACCTACCATAAGGGTGCAACACTGACAGAAAAAATATGTTGCTTTAGTTATTTTCACTAATTAATAGTTTATATTAACAAATTAAATTTATTTTAGGTAAATCAAAATCATTAATTCACGTACATTCCCTAGGAATAGCTACTTCTGATTATACCATTATTTTATATATATTATTTGAAGCTGAGCCCTTTTTTTTTTTATAAATATAATATACACTTTATATTTACATTAATAATAGATAAGTGTAAAATGACAAAAGTGTTGTAACAAGTTTAAAAAAAATTTCATATACCGGTGTTATGTTCATAGATTAGATTTTATTAAATAAAAACTGTTGTTTGATATACATGATTAAATAATATACAATAAATTACATATTTTTAAATTAACATTATTTTATTTAAAGAAAAATTAAAATAAGTATAAAATTGTTTATGAAAATTATTTTTCTAGCGGTGCATAATTGAGTAGTTTTTCAATTAAGTCAACATGACCAAGTAACATACGTCTACAACAATATCGCTTAAGTCCAAGTGCATCCAAAGCATCACTGGAAAAAAATAAAATATATACAATTGATAGGTAAATAAATAATCAAAACAAAGTATACTCATTACTAAACAATTTTAAAATTGTTCATTTTATATAAAAATATAATTACACAATTCTAAAATGTCAAAAATTATTGTAGGTTTTTACATGTTTGATTATCGGTTAATTGTGTATTTAACCATGCATAAAAAAAAATGGATAATATTTACACAAACACAGAAAAATATATCGGAAAATGGGAAACTTGCTCATACTCACCTAATAAGCTACTTTAATAATATTTAATGATAAATATACTTTTCTTTTATTAAAAATAAATTGCGTTATAAAAAGTTTAGTTATTAAGAGTTGGATGTTTTGAAATAAATAATAATTACATTATTAAGTTATTAGCATTCAACAACTTGTACATAAATTGTATGCATTCCATTGTTTTATTTAACTATAAAATTATAAATTTTTAATTAATTTATGACTGACAGTCTAGCTAATTTATTACTAATTTATTTATTAATTTAGTACTTTATTTATTATTTTATGATTTAAGACAAAAATAATTAGAAAATGATTGATGGAAAATATTTACATAAGCCCTGAAGAACATAACAAAAAGAAAAGAAAAAAAGCTATTGAGAGCTGCTTAAGTGTTTTAGTCAAAAAATATTAACAATACACTCCTGTACCTACACATAATAAATAATGTATAAATTATCAAAATTGTATAACAAAGGCACAAAAATTGTTATGGGAAAACAAGAAAATAATAAACTTATTCATCAATAATTGTTATTATCAAACAGAAAAAATGCTTTTAAAATGGATTTTGCCAACCAATTAAAGGTAATAACTCAATTATCAAAACAATACTATATACTTTAGAAATGTTTAGTTTAAATACAAAATTCTAACATAAATGATTGAAGTTTGATTCTAGACAATTGGCTGTCCCGAAACACTTTTTAAGACAATAAAGAACTATATTTAAAACCCAGAATCCCAGACAAGTAAGGACACATAGCAACCCTACAATAGCTTATTATTGGTTCTTTATATTTTTAGCAATTGTTAATGTAACCCAGGATAGATCATAAAATGAAGAAGTGAAGGTCCTAAGATCATTTCAAAAATTGATTGATATCAAAAAATTATATCTGATGCGAGATGAATGGGATCAGTTAAATAATGTAACACATTCACAGGTATGTAGGAAGAAATTTTGTATACCTATAAATTATTATATTTACATATTCAGTTAGTACTTGTTATACAGAAATTAATAAGGAAAAATTAATATTGATGTCAGGGCCCGTCGAAGTTAGTTCATTTCTAAACCAACAATTATACAATACAAATTCTAACTAATATTCATAAAAAACATTAGGCACTTTAAAATAAAATAATACATTATATAACTCACCCTTCAGTGTATTCGGCTTGTAGTAAGCCCAGATAACTCTCCCATTTATTTGCTATGACTTTTCCACAAGTAAAGCACCGGATTGGAATGATCATATTGATCGATTTAGTGCAAAAATCTTTTGAAAATTTTTTAAATGAAATGAACAAACACAAAACACACAATCGCAAAATATTGTGGTTGTTATCTACGGATTACGAACGCGGATTGTGGATAATATAATCAGGAGAATATAACAATGCTTCGACCTGTGCGCTCCGTTCCGAACTTCAGAACAAGTAAACAGTCGTGTGGACTGTTCGGCGTTCGGTGCATCGACGAAAACGTGGTTTACGACTTCATAGCGCATGCGCAAATTTTCAAGTCTATCGCACAATAAAATAACAATTTCTCTATCACGTGTGCGGTGTGCCCCTCCACTCATCACTCTAGAACCGGCGTAAGCAGTAAGCACAGTGTTTAATTCATTTGGATGCTACCGCACCGACCGACAGCGACAGTTCACGAGATTTCAAATAATATTGAATGAATCAAGACTCACCGGACAGTTTGGTATTTCCGTAAGTCGACAATTTTTTCAAACGGGGGTTAGTATCGTCAATTACAGCGTTCACATTTCATATTTTTCGCGTCTATCGGTACGATACGATCAGCTGCGCTGCTGAACGCTACGTAAAGTATCTTACGTGAGTACCGTAATCGTGTAACGTGTATTATTTATCGTTGTCGCTGTCATTGATCGCCATACAATATCAACGCGAAAACCGTTCGAATCCAGTCGGACAAATACCAGAATATTACACGAGCGCATTGCCGGATCCGTCCGGTCGGTGATTTAAATGGACGACATATTGTACGCCACAACAGCAGTTTTAGACGTGATTACAAACATAAAAAACGCGACCAAGGACGCAGTATACGCTGCTAATGTAGCAGCCAACGCCACTACGCAAGAGGAAATCGAGGAAGCGACGAAAGCAGCCGACATTTCGATATCGAAAGCGGTGTTCCTAGCCTCTACAGAATTAACCGCCGCTAGAGCATTAATTGATAATGTGGCCGAAAGGTTAGGGATCGAAAATCACTCAATCAGCCGGCAGATGCCGCGTAATTAAGACTTATACATCAGTTACCACCATACTATTTGCATAGGTGAGTGGCATGCCAATTGTCTTCCTGTCTAGTGCACCAGGTAATCGATTTGTTGAAACTTTTAATAAAATTCAGCTACATGGCCAGTGCCCCATTTAATTATGTATTTGTTTAATATTTAGTGACATAAAGTAGAACAAGGTCCACTATAAAATCTAAAATGATTATCAACACACCCGTAAGTATGATAATATCCAACACAAGTTCAATTTCTTGATGATTTAACTATACTTGAATGATTTATTTATATAGGCTTATTCTATTTTGGAAAATGTCTCTTTGGACGAAAACAATGAAGAATTTACTTCCTCTCCTTCAGTGTATGAACCAGCTGAAGATACCTTTTTAATGTTGGATGTTTTGGAATTAGATCTGGAGCAAGTGATTAATACTCGATTGTCAAAAAATAACACAATTGTCGGTTCTACTGCCAAGTGTGGACCATTGTTGGTTGTTGAATTAGGTTGTGGTTTTGGTATTCTTACTGCTGCTATATCGAAGGCTTTAAGTGATACTCTTTCATCAATTACTGTTGGAGCTCACTGTATAGCCATAGACATGAACCCAGCTGCTTGTCGTAAAACCATTATGACATGCAAACTTAATAATGTTGAAGTGAGTATATAGTTTGTTAACTTATTAAATATTTGTTATTATGACTCGCTTATGTTTTTGTATCCAGGCGGATGCAATACGTGGTGATCTACTTACATGGATGCGATATCCTGAAACAATAAAAGCAAATAATGACTCCAACAAAGAAACATTTGGTCCAATTGATATTCTTTTATTCAATCCTCCATATGTTCGAGGTCCAGAGGGTGAACAAGCACCAACTCCTAGAATAACAAAAATTGATACTCAAGACCCGGTAGCTCATGATCGACAGCTAGCAATAATGGCAGATGCTGCTTGGCTGGGTGGTGGTCCAGATGGTATAGATGTGCTTAAAAGGTTGGTATGACTATCTTATGTTTTTAGTGACATAATCAACATCTAGTTTATAATTTTTTTAATATAGAGCCCTGCATCAAGCAGCTGATCTTCTTTCGGAGTATGGAGTATTTTATGCACTGATGATTGATTACAATTATAATGCGCTAGTGCGAGATGAAATGCAAGCCCGGCGTGATCGAACTGATCAGAATATTTATAACGATGACTTAAATAATATAGAATTAACAACTTTTGGAAGCAGCCCTGCTAGCAGACATTTAATATGCACCCGTATATTATCCCGAAATGTTCCTGGTGAACACTTAGCTGTATACCGAATTTATCGTCCTATTGATTTAAATTAATTTTTTATCACACATTATGTCAGACTGATCACTAACATAGTGCATAAGTTTTATTAACATTCCTTTTTATTTATTTTCATTTATAATGTTTGACATTTTGTTTTCATTTTATTTCATTATGGGTACTTACTGAGTACTGTATCCAATTCAATTTATTTTTGTATTACTATGTATTATACAAGTCAGTTCAATTGGAGTATTAATTTAAAATCTATTTAATACTTACATAATTAAGTATAAATTTTTTCCTATAGTATAAAATATAAATATTGTGCTACAAAACAAATCATTCACTTAACTTTTTAATTTTTTACATTTTGTATTTTTTAATTACTTTTTCTGTGGTTTATATCAATTTTATCATTTATTTTCTGTTGAACTTTGAAGCCAATTAATTAATGAAAATATTATTATCATTCATATTATTTTTAATTATTCATTTTATATTAATAATATAAACATTTACTTTTTGATAAATAATTTGAAAAACCAGTGGGTTTCTATATTTAATTTCTTATGAAAAATAAATTTGTTTAAGTTACTAATTTATTAAGAATTAAGAAAGTTGTGAAATACCTAAAAATATTATCTTTATTTTTTTTTATTTTTAAGTTGATTAATTTTTGTGGAATATTTTGTACTTGGTTAAGTAATTAAAATATATTTTACTGCCTTTCACTGTATTTTCAACTTTATTTCTTAAAACATGATAATAATACAATAATTTTTAGTTCTTAGCGTATTTTTTTATTAAGTAAACAATTATCTAAAAACATATACATATGTTTTTTATACTAAAATACTTATATAAAATGGCGATTATTTGGTTAATTCTATTTGATAAAACTAGATGTTTAAAAGATAAATTTGTAATTGAAATGTATAAATTATCAACTGCATAAACCCATATTCAAAGTACTCGTGACTAACTATTGTAATGACATTTAACTAAATTTTAAATGCTGTTGATTTAATATGTGTTCTTAACAACACACCTGTATTAAGTAGATCAGTTAATAAATATTTAATATTCATTGTTTCTGAATATTTATTAAATCTTTTTTGAAATTGAAATATTTAATATATTGTTTAATGAATCATTTAAACTTTAATTTTAAGAGATGAAACCTCTTAACAAATGTTCCATGCATTTATGCATTCCAATTGCTTGTTTTTCATCATTAATCTGTGTGATTCATATTTTAATAGAATAAATATTGATAAAAAAAATGTAAGTTCCCATAAAATTTCTTGAGCCAATATTACTTAAGTTTTATTTCTATTAGTATTTTAATGATTAAAAATAAAATTATTTATTATTTTTATCTTTTAGCTCACATTAGTATACATTCCAATATTCCAAATTTGATATTAAAAATTAAATTGTAGTACATCTTAAATTAGACAACTTTAAATATAATATTGTATTATTGCTATTCCAATTTTTTTCTTTTAATTTTGGTTTTTTTTGGGTCAGATTTATTTATAGATTGTTATATTTTTACAGTTGATAATGAAATAATGTTTTTTTTATTGAGTAAATGCTTATAGATAAATGAATAGATGTAATAAAAATAAATTTTTCAAATTTATAAACTGTAGAAAAATATAAATGTCATTCAAAAAAGTATTTTCAATAATGTTAATAGATTTTTAAATAATGAATGTTTTTCTATAAAAGAATCGCCAATATAAATAATATATATTATTATCTGAACATTTGAAAACCAATTTTTAAAGCATTTTTTCAGTTATTAATACTTTATTAATAAATAGCAATTATTTCTTCTTTTTATAATTATGCTTTCTGAATTATAAATTGTAAAATAAAATTATGAAATAAATTTATTTGCTTAGGTTTTTAAGAATTTATTTTTTACATTTTTAGAGTATACATATATTAAGTTTGCAGGTACAGCCCAAGGTGAATAAGTTAACTTGGAAATAATGTATGATTAACTTATGAATAGATACCAAATTTATAAATTTTAGACTTTAATTACAGTTCATAATGGTCAGATTAACCATTATCATAGGACATACATTTTATAGCATTTATTTATATTTATTTGTCATTTACAATTTATGATGTTATTATCAGTAAAGAACTGTAGATCAATATTTGCATAAACTGCCAAATTTTATCACATTCAATTAATTTTTTTTTTGTATTCTGTTTTTGTTTTATTTTTTTATTACCTACACCAGCTAAGCTACTTATCAAATCATATTTTTTATTATATTAAATTAGAATCTGTTTAATATACATAAAAGTAAACTTATTTAATTTAACTAAACATTTTAAATTGTTAAGTAATATAGATTATACTTTTTTCATATTTTTTTAACTTACAGTATTTTTGTAATACTTAAATTTTGTTAAGTAGGCAATTAAAAATATTTTTAATACATTTAAATTAGGTACATCTTTAAATACAGTACACTGATAATGTATTTTATAAAAAACAGAATAATCTTTTGTTCTTAAATTATAGTTTGTATAACATTTATTTTTTAAGTTAACAACTATCTGTGATAATAAGAAATTACCTACTATATATTATGACAAGGTTAGCTAACTTTTTTTAACATAACATACCAAAAATTGTACAATTTTGCTTTTTTGTTTCTTGTATGTTATTAAATTATAATATTATATATATGTTTATAAATGTGAAAATGTAAATTTTTGTCTCATGTTCTCTAAAACTTATCACCAGATTAACATAATTTTTTTTTTTTTAATGAAAGAATGTATCTCGGAGTAAGTTTAAAACCTATTTATGACTATAAGTTATTGAAAAAAATTGTGTTAGTAATTTTTAAAATAATAGCAAGTATGCAAGATTGTTTTCATATATATTACCAATTATTATTTATTATTTAAAATTAGTATTCAAGTGAATAGTACAAAACTTTTTTGGTGCTTTTTGTCCAGAATGAAAAGAAAATTAAATTGGGTCATTAAAAAAAAAAAAAAAAATTTAATAATGATCAAAAAAACAACTTTGGGTGGGACAACTTTGTAAAGTAGATAATATCTTAGAAATATCATCTATATACCACATCATAAACCAAAAATATAATTTATCCATATGCGTTATACTAAATGCATTAGCAACTAAATTTAATATGAATGTATTTTGTATGGGCAACTAAGTGCACAAGGATGGCTAGTACCTAAGTAATAAATGTGAAAAAATGTAAAAATATATGTTGGCTTATATACTTTTATTGTATTTTGTTATTAAATATATAAGATATTAAATATAAATAATACTAGTAATTTAGCATTTATTAATTTATTGCATATGATTTTTTTTTTGTTATTCACATGATGCTAATATTCTTTTATATTCAGCTTATTAAGTGCAGATGGGACTGAGTTTATTCATTCAATGGTTTCTTAGATTAAAGTATTTTTTCTTTTTATAAATATATATCTATTTAATTTAATATTTACATTTTTTATTAATAGAATATTAAGCTTATTCAATTTTAAATGTTTTAATAAAAAAAAATGTATTAAGTGTCACTCATAAATATTTTTTTCACTAACAATATCATATTTTATTTAATATTTGATCTTTATGAAACAAATGACCTTCCTATGTACTAATTTGAAAAAATGTAATTAGATATATAATAGCTTCATACTTCTATTGTCACATCACTCTGTGCATTTTGGTGAGACATGGAATCAACCAAATCCACAAAAACAACATGTAACAAAACTTTAATTATACCCACATATAAAATACCTATGTAAACAAATGAGATGTGATTAATACAAATTTATTATATATTATCATGGTAGAAATGTTTATGACATTTCATCTCGAGTGAATGTTCCATACAGGTATAATTTTGCTTTATTTTCAATAGCAAGTTTTATTTTAAGTAAGATATTTTATTTTATTTTGTATGATTTTTTTGTGTATGTGTTAGAACTGACTTTAAAGTTTTTATGCGCTTTTGGAGGATTTTTATGGTATATCTTGAGATTTTCATTAATATTTTTATGATCCAAATTGGATTTTTTAAACAATAAAAGTTTAGTTTTTAAATTTCTATTTTAATTTTTAATATTTTCATATTCAATGAATACGTATTTATACATTATTTAATAATTTAGATCAGACAAGTGGATATTGTGAATTAAAGCTTCATCAGACATAATTGTGGATACTGTTGATTCTGTGTTAAGAGAAATGGCAATTAATTAATTATGAGACTAAAATAAAAAAAATGAACAATATAATTTAATGTTTTGCATAAATATGTGATAAATTATAATATGATATACTATTATAGCTAAAAATAAAAAGAATAATAACAAATATTGTTAATAAAATATGATACAATATTGCAGTATTATTCTTCTCTTTTTAACTATATACCTTGTTACTGCAAATTATGATATTTTTAAATTGTTATTATTTTACTATACATTATACAATACCTTTTTGGCTGATTTTGCTTCCATTTCAGTAAATAAATATTTGGGTAAGTTCAGTATCGATCAAAACAAGGTTTCAATCTTTTCACAATAACAGTTCCCATAAGTTCGGCTTTCAAATCACAAACAAAATCTTCCAAGTTGTAATGTTTGGAATAAATGTAAAATTTACTAGGATTCCAGGCATCTCCCCGTTTACTTATGTGTGTCCAAATATTCAGGACATCAGTATTTTCTGGAAACCTTTTAAACCTTTAAGTTATACATCAATTAACAATTAGGGATCTGTGAAACGAAATATTAATCATTCCAGTTTTTTTTTTTGTTTTTACGGAATATAAATTGCACGTTATAATAGCACAATTAGAACCACCACCTCTAGTACTCATAGTTATTATTTATATTATAAACGCACCTATGCTACGTTTAAATTACATTGACATGTAATATTATAAGTATTTGAATACAAATATGTAAATAAAAAACTGTAACCAGGGTTAAACGAAAAAAAACGTCGAATACAATGCCGAATGCATGAATAATCATTAATCACTTATCAATATTCACTATTCAGTATGGTATCACCACAGTTGTCGGTGTTCAGACAATAATGTAAGGGCCAAGGGCTGTACTATTCCCGCTCAGGTTTTTTCATAAATTTAGAAGTGAAAAATCTTTCATAGTTTATTAAACTTGAATACAAAATTTGAAGAATGTTATTAGGTATGTTTAAAATTCACAATTCACTAGGCTCTAATCATAGTCGCATCTATGTACGTGGTTTATGCATGTCGTCATTTATACATTTCGCAACTGACATGTTGGTGCAAGATTAAACAGTAAACTACAAAACAAACATTTTACCTCGAGACTTGAGTATCACATTATTCGGACATGACACAGGAATGGCAAAATTCTTTCAAAAATATTAAAGCCCTTTGCTCTTATACATAATCTTCCCATTTTCAGGACCAAATTTTAACTTGTACTTTTGACAATTATTTTAAATTGTATAATTTTATTATACAAACCATATTATAGAACATATTACAAGAATTTTATAGAAAAGATTTAAGTCAAGGATATTATATCGTGACAAAATATTTTCATAGTATTATTAATAAGTAGGTTGGTACGTCAATAAAAATTCATTTTGAGGTAGGTACTTATGTTCTATGGACAATGGTTATATAAAAATATCAATAGGTATATTATTATTATATTATGGCTTGTGAGTTGTGAGTAAAGCTCAGAAGTTAAAATAGCTAAAACAGGCAATATATGTTTGGAAATATGCTAAAAAAAAAAAATTGAAAAATACTAAAATACGTAAGAAAAAATGTTAAATATACAAAAATAATTGTTTTAAGTTCCGAAAAAAAAAACATTTTCATTTTTTGTTAAATCGATAAATAATCGACGATAAAATATTATTTCGGCATAATAACGCAAATTAGATTAAATACACATCGCACCGTTTTCGTCAAATCATCAATATTCGACTGCAACAATCACAATAAATACCTATTTAGTTTTTTAGAAAATATTTTATATGCTTAATATGCGTATGAAAGCCAGTGAAATAATATGCACTTCTTTCATAAAATTGACGAATTAAGCATTTTATTTTACACTTTTGATTTTTGAACCTACCATTGATCATCATATATCTAGTTCAGATTTATAACTTGATCTGTTATAAATCGAAAACATATTGAACAATAAGCAGCTCCTACAATTTCCGAGCCCTACTGATGAGTTTCATTGATTAAATAAATTATATTATTATTTTGACAAAGTGAATTTAATAAGTTTAATATAAGCTTAATAGTAAGTTAAGCTTCAAGCTTAATGGGTTGTTGACGTTGTAGTAGATAATAAATTATATTATATTATATTCTATCATCGTAATTGTCGTCATAAAGCATTGACCATTATAAGGTAAGTATAAGCCGATTAAGCCGTATAAGGTCTATGTCATAGGGTCATAGCCCCGCTGATAATGACTTTATTATCGCGATATTGTTGTTTAACTGTTATCAGTTATCAGACGATTTGTCGAAAGTCAGAAACGCTGTTCGTGTACACAGTACACACACACTACAGACACATTTGACGATACTCAAATATAATTACTGCATTTAATATATTATCCATTTAACTAGGTTTTACTACTTATTACCACACCTTGTTTTAACGTTCGCAAATCGCAATCTAAGTTTAGCTTAGTTTGATATCTCGTAAGTATAAACATAAATTGTCATATACTTGACTATTTAAATACGTAATCCGACACGTTTGGTTTACAGAAAACTCGCGCTGCCGTAGAACTTAACAGCCGCTGCACATGAGCCAATCCGAATCCGTGCTGTCCATGGATAACGAAGTTTCTGCAACCAAGTCCATCGGTGCCACCGTCTTGGACTTGCCGTTGAACCGTACAGAGACAGTTGCAACTGATTACTCGCCAGATGATGAGGACCTAGACGAAGCAGCGGCAGCTGCCGCCGCTGCATCAGAAGCAACTCGTGACACTTTGGCTGATGGCCTGGTTGCCAGTTTGCTCAGACCGTGTGTTGACCGTTTGGATGCGTCCGTCCAGTGCACTAGGTAAAATATGCGATGATAATATTTTTATTCTACACTAACGTCTTGCCAACAAGAATCGACTACTGTTAATGCTGATTATAATAATTTTTATAGTACAATTCATTACTGTTTCTGTTATTTATGTTATTGTTAGACTGAGCCAACTTGACTTGAAACTGCAACTTGACTCGTTAGCTACTGAGCTCAAGCGTCTATCGTTAGCACAGCACGATTACTTGTTTGCTGCTAAGTCGATATCATCGCCACAATTGCCAGTCTCTGCCGAAAAGACCATTTCACCTACAGCGACTGCTACAACAAAGACCACTACTGACACATGTGTTCTACTAGATGGATATGCTCGTAGATTATGTGATGCACGTGCCAAGATAGCTGTCGTGGGAAATATACTGGAGTCTACACAGGTACTATTGCTGCTGCTAGTACTTTTATATACTAATACACAATTATTATTTTTAGTTCACCCATTTAATGTATTCAAACCATTATTGTATGTGTGAAGTAGGAGCTATAACATATTTTGAGAGTGCACTTTAATTTGTATTACCTTTTAAGGATGCTGAACCTAGCATCTAGCAAATATTACTGCTCATTACAGTTATTACTTAGGTTTACGTATTCTACTTGAATTATAATTAATTATGATAAAATAGATGTTTAGCAGTTGTTAGGTAATATCTATCCTTCATCTTCACAGAATTAACCATCTTGTACGCTTGCCATTTAATGAAACTATGTCAACCCAACTTTGACCACTATTCTGTACGATTTTAAGTCATATTACATATAGTAAAAAAATGATTTGTATAAGATATTAATATATTATAATTTATATTTGCTATTTTTCAAATTTTTTTTATTTTGCACATTCTGATTCTTATTAGTATTGTATTTATATATTATGTAAAACACCTAGTGCATTAAATTCATAGCCATGTTATACGCTTCCTGACAAATCTATTTATTTATATATTTTTGTTTGTTTGCAATGTAAACATAACAGGAACGCTTACGAGCACTCTCTCATCGAATAGGTCGTGAGCACAACAATCGGCGATCACTCCTAGAACCCCAAACTGTGGTAATTGGTGTGGAAGATAAACTGGAAGTAGAGGAAGAAAATGAAAAAAAGAATGATGAAGAAGAGGAAATAAATGACAATAATGAGAAAGATCAACCAAATGAGCATTCGACAGATTTCAAAGATGATAACAAAGAGGAAGAACAACCTGAGGAAGATGCTACAGTGATTACAACTTCACCGGCAGTGTCAGAAATACCAAAAAAGTCATGATGAAATATTAGTCATGTTGGCTCAATGGTGTCAAGGTGTATGTATATGGATTTATTTTGATTGTATAAACAGAATATTTATTTGTGTATTATTATGGATTAGGCAGATTAGTGCTTTGTGACCTGCTGGCATTGATGTGGCAGCCTGAATTTTTCGTTGCTGTCAATAGATACCATAGTTCTAAATACATCATGAATTATTGTTAAAAATTTAGTTGGGTGGAAGCTCTGCTAGCAGATCCTTGGCATGGTGCTAGCTCTTGGACCATAACACACCTTGTGATCCATTAGCCATCTACCAGGTGAACCAACATCTAGGATTACACATAAGCAATACTGCAGTACATGTGTTTTATTATCATTCCATATTGTATAATTATTCTTATAATGATATCAGAATATAATGTAAAACATAATTCATTATAAACATAGTATATTGTTGTATTATGTACATAAATAACATATTAAATTTTATTTTGATATATTTTTTTCCCAATATATTTGTTATTACATACATTTGTTTATTAAACTTAAACACCACTGAGTTTAGTTTATTGAATATAATTTGATCTCTTGGTCTGAGCTACATCTGAAACTTGATATTTTATTTATATCAGATCCAAAATAAATTAATTTATTCCTTTATTGTAACATAATTATTCTCATAAAATACCATACTAAGACAGATATTGACAATGTAGAGTTTTTATTCTATTTATTAAGATTTAACATCAACAATTAAAACAAATAATTAGTTAATACCATAGAGTAAACAAAACAGTCCAAAATTAATTATAATCCTCTATTAATTTCATTATTTTTCATGTTTTATATCATAATATTATGCGAATAATCATATTTTTACTACTTTGCTATTATTTTATTTATATATGATCAATTTTGATCATAATTGATTAATTAAAAACTAGATATTCCAAACAACTGCTTTATTTTATAGTAAAAGATGAATCAAAACTGGCCTATCAATCATATTATATTTAGTTATTTACACATTACGTACAATTATTCATTTATATTTTGATGTAACACAAACATTTTTAAAAACATAGTTTTATGTATGTTTGGTTCTAAACAAATTTGTGTGGTATAATACTTTTTCTATACAGTATTTGGCTATACATTTTATGTGATATTGGATGTTTGAATCTTGCTAACGTAGTAATAGAAAACACTAACAATTTTATCAATAAATATCTAAGTCCAGCTATTCAGAATGAGTTAATTGAAATTATGTATAAACTAATATCATGAAATTAAAAAAAAAAATCATTTATAATGAAATAAAAAATTTTTTTCTTTAATTATTACTTAAGTCAATATATAACGATTTTAGACCAAGTCAGTATTAATACTTGTTATGTTACTATTGATGATATTAAGCATACAGTATGTATAAAAGAGTCATTTTTTAGGTTTATACACACATTATTATTGACTACACACATTTTATAATAAATATTTTTTCTCAATTGGGCTTCAATATTTTTTGATGTTGTAGTCAAGGATATGATGATGCCACTGTAATGAGTGGTATTTATAGTTACAATATTTAAGTTACAAGAATTTATAAGAGATTATTACTATACTTACATATTAATTATTGCTTAGCTATGATTTCCCTTTATTAAAAATTTGTTTTACATTTACATGTTGTTTCTATTTTACTACCATTTGTTGTACAGGCTTGCTATGTGGTACATTTTGTGAGACAGAGGCAACACTAACATGGATAGCGTCATGGGTCATCCTTTTAAATATGTTAAATATGTAGTTTCAAGGAATAACAACAGTGCAAGATCTAACCAGAATGAACATTCGTGGGCAATTATATCTAAAATTCTAAATACTAGTATTTATATTGACAGTAGCCCTTGCTCAATGTATGTTTAGATTTTTTTACATAATTTTTAATCATTTATTAGTCATTAATCATTATCATATTATGTTAAATTATTAAGGAAATATCCGTAATAGATTCTATTCTTCCTCGATTCAAGCAAATGGTTTGGACATTAAAATGTGGTGTACTTTTGGTAGCCTATTTATAGCACTGTAAATATATGATTTTAGAATTGAAAATAATTTTATAAAATATAATAATCAGATTAAAATCAATGTTCCATAACAAAAGAAAAAAAAAGAATCAAGAAAATAAAATAATATTTTTATTGAATATCAAAAAATTAGTAAGAGAAATTAAGTATGGCGATTATGAAGAAGTATTATTAAAAGTGTAAATCATAAAAAGAAAAGATGAACTGATAGGACATAAATAATTACTGGGATGAATAAAATTATAGAAGAAAGTTACTAAATTTACTTCAAACAGTGACAGACCCAGAATAAAACAACTCATACAAGAAATTTAATTCAAAAAATAATGAAATAATTAATCATAATTTTTTTTCTTAGGTACATTTTAAAAATATCATCTAATAAATCCAAGCATGCAATTTTAACAATTATTTTGACATTATACCATGAAAATTTAACAGCAATTATGATTGTATCAATAAAGATGATTTTTTATACTATTTTGTTTTTGAAAAATAAAAAAATTACTTTAAATTCTCAACAATGTGAGACGTAAACAACAATTTAAATATCATTGATAATGAACATAAAAGTTCTAAGCTGATACAGAGGTCATTAATAAGAAGGAAAAGTGTATGATTAAAAAACAACCAGTAGTTAAGTGATTAAAGGTATATATATTCTAAGATTAATATATGATATTGATAATAAAATGTTGAAAAAATTATTAAAAACTAAAATGTTTAAATATAATAATAATAAACTAAACTACTAATATTAGTAAAAATATTAAAAATGATTCTTAAAAGAACACAATACATTTTCTGTACTTTTGATACAAAAAAAAAAAAAAAAAAAATGATACACAGATGTTAGTTGTTGATATATTGTAAACTATAAACTACTATATTATAATATAAATGGAATAAATTCTAATGAATTATATAATTTAAATTTCAAATCAGTGATTATGATTTAACTAATACTTCTACTTTTGGTGGTGCATAATATAATTATATTACTGGTTTAACACACCTCCACTACATATTAATACTTATTAGTTATTATCTATCATAATAGACTATTTCTAATGCTAATATTTTACTAAACTTCTAAGATTAATATTATAAATTGTTATAATTAATGTTATATTTGAATTGGGTAGTAGTGTTATATTATAATGTATAATATTAATAATAAAAATAGTAAATCATAATAAAATATACCTATTATGGTAGAAAATCAAAAAAGTTAACTATCAATAATAATAATTACGAGTTTTATTTTTGTTGACTGCTATTCTCTATCAAAAATTAATAATAAAAATAAATGCTTGTAAATTAAACTAGTAATACATAAATAAAATTAAATAATTATGAATAAATAATATTACTATGTATACCATATTTGTTAACTACAAACAATTATAGCAAATTAATACAAAAAAAAAAAAAAAAAATTAAATAAATAAATAACCAGTACTAGACAAATAAAACTAATATGATTAAATATTAATAATGTTAAATATTTAATTGATCGGCCTTACAACCATATTTCATAAAATAGCATGGTTGAAAATTAAAAATAAACAATGGACAAATAATAAATATATTATATTGATGTAATAAATTTTTTAGATTTGATATTAACTCTAAAACACTATAAAATCCATTATTCATTGCTATTGTGTAAAGTATTTATAATTTAAAATATTATGTAAGACTGGGTAAAAAAAAAAAAAAAATTACAAAAAAACAAAGCATTAATCGTACAATAATAATAATATTATTATATATGTTTAATAATGGCTCTGGATTATTTGGAGAAATCAAAGTGTATATTAAGTTTACGGTAACACGTAAATAATGATTTAATGATGAGATAAATTTAATAATAAAATAAAAAACTGAAAGATTAATTATAAATTAATAGAATACACTAGATATGATATCTCCAAAATCTTATCTTATCTAGTGAAAGTATAATATAAATTTAAAATAAATGGTAGTATGTCTAGAAGATCCAAATTCATATCATTTTTGTTGATTCTTTTGTCAGAGTCTAGTATAATAATATCTTGTGTGCAACTGGTTTACGGCAAATAGGACATGGTTGACCAGGGGACATGCGATCACCACACAGCTGACAAGTTCCATGTCCACACATAAACACCATATTTTTCAATCTATCCAAGCACACAGGGCACATATTCTTAAAAAAAAAACTATGATTAGAAAAAATATCTTTGTAAATTATGACTATAGTTATTAATTATATTATACTAATCATCATACCATTTCTTTGAGATCACTCAACTGCTGCATGAGCTTTTCCACTAGTCCTGGCTCGTCTCTAGAAGGGCTTGCCATTGCCACATTCATGGGAGAATTTTGCTGTTCCTCCTGTACTTGCGCGTTCGCAATGTCAATCTGCTTTTGTTCTAATTCGTTAGTTCTCTTGTCACGAGACCGGGACAAAGTATTATTTATAACCGATAGACCACGTGAAGTGGAAGGTTGGCTTTCATTGTTGCTTTCACCGGTGGCAATGTCCAATTCATTGCGTGGAGCAGGTTCTCTGCTGTAATGGGTAAAAAGAAGATGGAGATTAAATAAAATAATAATTATACTAGTAACGATATAATTTATCATAGTGCTATGATAAAAAGATGTCGTACAATTTAAAAGATGTTTTTAATTCTAAAGTGTGACTCAAAATATAATTTTGAGATAACATATAATTTATATTAACTACATTTTAAATCATGGTATACAGACACAATAATTTTAGGTAAACATGAAAATGTAAACCAGAAAATGTATTTGAAAATAGTGCTTTTTAGCACCAAAACTTACTTATTATTACTACTATTCTCAATCACTATAGTTCCATTATCACTACTAGTGACGCTTAAAATGCTGTCGTCATCCATGAAATCTAGTTCCGGTTCTTCATGGTTCTCAACATCTCTTATTATATTGTTATCCACTCTTTCACCAGAATTGCCACTTGGGGGCATAGCGGCTCTGGAAGTAGAAGGTCCATCCAAAAGCACCGCTGGGGTATTATCTTCTAACATCATCATACCAGGCGGCGGGGGAGGAAGGCCGATGCTCAAAAAACGATTTGCCACTGTTGACGATAATTTAAGAAATTCTGAGTCACTTCGAGTCGCGAATGTCTTGGTGCACTCTTTAGGGGGGTCAGGCTCTCTTGACAGCAATGGGGCGTATGCATCGTGATATGGTGCTTTAATCGAGTAGTCAGGCGGCATGTTATGAAGCATCAATTGGGATTTCGGAGGTCCCTCTATAGAGAGAGTTGGAGCACTGGAACCAATAGCTCCCTCCATAGGGCAGTCACCGACGCTAGTTCGAACTTCGCGGGCATGAGCGGCAGCAGAACAGCACTTCATCAAAGCACAGCGCAAAGGCTGATCGGCCGGGCAAAGATCCAAAGGCGTTTGTCCTCGGTTGTTGCGTATAAATAGATCAACGCGACCTGTACCAGCGAGCACACAAACAACTACGGTAGCATTTGGTGGTGGCGGAATCACGTTTCCATTGCTTGGGGAAGCAGGCGCAGACCGGGATACCGGACCACGTGTAGGCCGACCAAAAATATCTCGGCTACCTGGTCCAGAAATTGCAGTCTGAATACTTCCTGAGCTCCCTTCTCCAGTTACTTGTTTATTCGAACTTGATCCCGATTCACGTATTGATCGTCCTCCATTATCACGACTTCTGGAACCGGAAATAGCCATGGCAGCTGCCAGAGCAGCGGCACGTGCCTCTCCGGCTAATCGAGGACCGGTTTGATCATCGACAGTCTGTTGACGTATAGTTCGCACTGGAGATTTCTTTATCCGACGACGGTTGATCGCTTTTTTCGATTTATTATTTTTGACTGGTTGTGGTTTGTTGTTCATAACAGGCTGAAAAAAATCGAAAACAAATGGTTTAATTTGTTTTGGCAACAGTAAATTGTATGTATAAATTTAACTAGTTTTACCGAGGTAACTGTTGGAGTAACATTACTGTTTGTATCCTCATCAGAATCTACACCATTGGAACATATGCGTAAACGTCTAAACTCTTCAGCCGCTCCAAGTAGCTCGGCCATCAATCTCTGCACCGCGGAGACCGGTGAAGCGAACATTTCTAAGTACGCGGGACCCTTGGCCGCCCATAGTTCTGTTGCCTGTTCGACGGGGCATGGTTGAGTAGTAACGGTACGGCTGACTATTGAATACATGTTTTCACTGTCATCTGATAGTTCTCGATAGTCACGTACGACTCTGTTGCCGCCGAGAAGGTTACGTAACGATATTCCACCTCCACCATCTGACCGGAACTTAGTGTTAGGATCCCTAGGACTGTTTCCCAAACCCACTCCAGGCGGGGGTGGTGCACCGACTGTCTTGAGTTGCAATAACGTGTGATGGCGCAAAGCCTCATGCATAGGCGTGTCACCGTCTTTGTCAGGGATGTTTGGATCAGCGCCATGGTAAACAAGTAGCTACGGAAAAATATAATCAGAAAACATATATCAAGATGGTAAACAAGTAAAACTAGTGTATAAATTATTGTTAAGTATATGCAATATATTGTTGCATCGACTCAACATACTTTGACAATATCTGCGTGCTGACGTTCCACGGCCAAATGAAGGGCCGACTGCTTATTGACATTTTGTTTATTTGGGTCAGCCCGGCCATAAATTAGCAGCAACGACGCCACGCGGTGGTGATTGTTAAGAGCAGCCAAATGTAGAGCGGTGTATCCATCGTCTTTGGGTTCATCCACGACCCAATAGCGGCCACCGTTTGTAGCGATCCAGTCCAACATAATAGCGGTAGCTCTGTAACGATATAAAACAAATTGTTGACGATTAATTGAAAAAATTGATGAAGTAATACTTAAATAAAAATGCGATTAGTTCGGTGATAAAATAAAATTATATGTAATATGTATAATATTTTATATAGGTTGGGTTGAGGAGCCACCGCATTTTTCCGTTTTCCGTATTAGGCTTGTAGGAAAACGTGGTGACCCAACCGGTATACTATAATAAATCAAAATTTATTAATATTGATGTCAATATAGTGCAAGGGGACGAGGTGTTAATGCTAATTTGCGACGGCGTGTATTGGAAGTTATAACACCGGATAATATGGATACAAGCGAATTTGAAGGGTTTGGCAGAACTTTGGCCATCTACGAGAGCTTTATTAATGTATAAATAATCCTCGACATAAATATACATATTTATAGCATAAGTAGTATGCACATATGGTTATATTATATACAAAAGCAGTCTTTAAAACTTATTCATAGTCCGTCCTAATAAAAATTCTCAAATGTTTGCTCCCAAATACTTTAAAAATAAAATAAATGTTGGTGATTTTACAGTGAACTTAGCAATAATTGAACAAAAGCTGTAAAGAATACATCATAGAATATACAAAATGATACATTTGTTTATTTTATTTTGATTTTAGCAATATGTTTTTAAATTTTAGACAACTTATAATACACGAAGTTTTGATTTGCATGTTTATTATTAAATTTTGTAATATTATTTAAGCATGTCATTGGATTAAAGTGGTATTATTATTTGTTGACTAAAAGGTTTTTAATTATGTATATTTATGATAAAAAAAAAAAAAATAACAATGCATGTTAAATATAAAATTTGGTTTTTATATTCCTATGAAAGTTAAAGAATGCATAGATTAAAAATGCAGGTGTATGAATGAGGTCACTTTGGGATAGCACCGAAGTTATGCATCCATTGACCATGGACGTTATTGTTGTGAGTGTTGTGACCTTTTTGTACTGTACTCATTTGTTTTACTCTATGGCGTAATGACCGGGGAATACATATACCACCCAATAGTTAGGTACGTTAATAGCATAATGATATATAGCATACTAATATTAAATATATTAAAGTTGCTTGCTCGCAGGTCATGCGTGCGTATATTGTTATATTATACCTATATATTACGACTGCGAGAGCTTTGCAGTGTTTTCAATTTGCGCTAGATGAAAAAAAGCATGATGTGTGGGGGTGATCATATACGGCAGGGGCTTCGTCACCACTGTTAGTAGTTTGTCGAAGCATACAAATCATATTTTTTTAAATTAATATAAATACAGAGTGATTCAATATTAATCCTACAACCATTTTATAAAATGTGATGTGCACAAAAAACTATTCATAACAGAACATTCTTAATACGAAAGTATGTTGTACCTAGAAATACCTAAAATTATTAATAATTTTTATATTTTTTTACAATATTTTCAAGGGAGGTTTTTAAGGTCAACTTAAAAAATTCAAACAGGAACCTATACTAATTATAATGTGAAGAATTTCTTTTCAAAGTATCTACTTAGATACATAAAAATTGAAATTTAGACAAGTAGTTTATAAGTTATAAGTGTTATAACACATAAGTAATTAAAGTTTTGGTGAGCGAAGTAGAAAACCAACATTTTGGAGAGTAACCGGTGACCCCGTACCATACTACTCAGTTAAATTAAAATTTTAAATGTTATGTATCGACATATTCCAAAAAAAATTATTTATATTGAGATTGCAAAAAAAGTATAGATTTCCATTTAAATTTCTTAAGTTTCTAAACATAAAAATTAATAATCATTTTAGATATTTCTAAATAAAACTTTCGTACAAAACATGTTTGAATATGTTTATAATAAAATGGTTATAGCATACATTTTGAATCACTCTGTATACGTATATAAATATATATTTTTTTTTATCCAAACGTTTATTGAATCCGGGTAATCCTTCCTACTCCTCCCTTAGGGTTCTCGTTTTCTTTATGTCAATATATAAATATACTATTATTTATGTGTACACATGATATATGTAGTACCTACGTACAATATTGTATAATAAAACATAATATCATAATCATAAATTGCACCACCGCCATTGTCGGATCGACGAGCATGACACACGTACATAACACATCATCACATCATCACATCATACATGTATTAAATTATGCATATAATAATTGGCTTTTATATAAATATATGTTATTCGTTTGATGTTTCGGGCTTTTGAGAAGAGACCCTCTCCTGCCGACGGATTGTGACGGAGACTTTTATGCGTACAGACATAACTATTAATTAATATTTATTTTATATACAATATACACTCAGTAACCACAACTTTCCGTATTCGACGAATATATATAAATAAAAGAAATATAGGATACTTACTTAAAGGTGATGAGTTTAAACCATCCAAAATAACGTGAGGGTAGATGGGTAAAAAATATGTGTGAACAGTGAAATTAATAATATGGTACATTTACTATATATACTACTATACTAGATATGTCGCAATTACTATATTCACTTTTAAGTCTTGAAATGACAAAAACTTAATTTAGGTAGTACGAAATTTTAAAAGTGCAGTTGAATTATTGGATATACACAATTAAAATAATATAATCATATAAGCATAATATAATCATTTCAATTTCTATTTTTTCATTATTCCATTCAAAAACATCAAAAATTAAAAATATTAATTTATCAAAAAAAAACCCACTTACTCCCCTCGAAAATAAGATAATTGCAATCGTCATCAGTCTCTTAAATTACTATAAATCTACGTTAAATTACGAATTGACTCTACTAAAGAGGTGCATGATATTTTAACGACACGCAAAAATATTTTTATTTCATTGTTAAATTTTGCTTTTAATGAAAAACAATAATGAAAGGAATCATTCTTCATTATTTCTAAATAATATAATTACTACATAATTATAACATGTTAAAAGTTTGAAACTTATTTCTAGACATATTATTTTACTAGGAGACTCCATATTTGCATTAACACACAGTTGTGAAAGTTTATTTTCCTCGACAACTACGATTAAATAAAAATGAACGAAACTAATGCTGCTCGTGTTTCATTAAAAATAACAAAACACATGTTCGATATTTAAAAACTATTCAATGATAAAAAATACAAGAACAATAATCATATAAAAAATTTTAAAAAGCTGGTATAAAAGTTAGACTATTAATTATAAAGCGAGTATAAACTAGAAATGTTCTTAAATACTTTATACTTGTAATTTTTTAACAAATCTCAAATTTCTCCTTTTTCAATTAATAATAATAAAAAAAAAAAAAAAAAAATGATTATTAGATTGTTGGCATACGTAATCCGAAAATATTTGCCAGCAACATTTTAGTTAGGGACTATATCGATATTATTTAGAAAAAGGCTGTTAATATTATTTTAGTACGTTTTACTATTTTCGGATTTATTGATTCCGCCAAAATACTCTGTTTCCGAAAAAAATATGTATCAATTATTCTGGTAGGTATATATTCCAATAACTACTGTTTATAATACCTAACTACCGATTCTACTAAGCTTTAAATTTATAAAAATAGTAAAAAGGCACATATTATAATGTTGAATTTAAGGGTCAATTTAAAATATAAATAATAATGAAATATTTATAATAACAATACTATTTAAATTAATTAGTTCAAAATTTAAATTAAACTATATGCGGTTTTATTTTTTTTTTTATAAATTTAAGTTTAGCGGAATCGGACGACGGACTTGATACAAAATTGACGAAATCGATATACACTGTCACGCGGGGAGAGCAGTGGTGGGTTTTAGTTAGAATCCAGCCATTTTTTTTTCAATAAAACTCAGCGTAACTATTTACCTATTGCATCTATACGGTTATAATTTACGTGTGTGTGTACAAGCAATAGTCTCGGACAGAAGAACACACGTCATCTCCTGCAGTACGACCGGTGTATCATATACATGGACATATGGTTGTATATATATCGCTGCGCGCACGAGACTTTATACAAAAATAAGCCGACAGCAGAGGCAGGGGTAATGACCGCGGTGTGTGACGGATTTGGCGGCGGTATCAAGTTACCGACTCATCATCGTTGTCGTCCTACCGACCTACAGGGATCCTGTTCTCAAAAAGAAACTGAAAATTCTCGTCGAAAACATTGTAGGTAATAATAAAGTTGGAATGATATTATATTAAACCGACCAGTATATAATATACAAACTACCGTTATTATTTTAAAATAATTAAAAATAAAATAAATACACGGTTTAATAACTAATAACATAATATAGGAATTAAATATATTACACATTTGTACAAACATTTTCTGGTCGTTGCAGTTATAAACCACGACCGAACTGCCGAGGTTGCATTCGCTGCGTATGACTTGGAATACCAGTCGACGATCGCGTATAATTTGAATGTATTATTAGCGTCGAATCCAGGCAATCTGGTAGCCCAATGGGATTTATTATACTTCTGATACAACAATATTGTATTATTAAATAAAAAGTAAGTTATAAAATTATTTTATTCATTTATGTCGAAAGTTCTATAACAAATAATGCTTATGATCCTTATATTTTGTCATATATGTCTGCGAGTGTGTTGATTAAAGGCACTCTCGATTTTATTTTTCAAACATATTACGTTAAATTATTAAATGGACTTTTTTGATAATTTTGTTGTCATAGAAATATTTAAAAAATTTAAACTCTCTCTCCCCTACCACGGATACGAGTATAATCGTTAGGAGAACAACTTCAAATATTATTTTTATTATTTTTTTTTATTGCAAAAACTATTGTTTTTTAATGCTATATTTATCTTATTTTTCCAAGTCATTTCAACTAAATAACTATAGTTTTAAAATCAAAATTAACTGTATAAGAGCCATTTTTAATTTAACTATATACACATATTTTTATCAGATTTGTTAAAGTTTTAAGATATTTAGATTTAAAAAAAATAAAAAGCC